GTTTCCTGATAAGTCTTGCAAAACCACACCCATCTGAGTGAAACCCAGTGTCTTCAGGGATTCCCTGTCATCCACGCCCCACCTGCAGTGGCTCTGTGCTCCCCCCAGGGGGGCCTGCCCCACAGCTTGAGAACCACCGCTCTTGTGATAGCAGAGATGTGTATCCTCTTGTTAATTATCTGAATTAAGCTTGTGAACTAGAGCCTGTTTTACAGTATGAAGCACAATGTTGATCTAATGACTGGTCATGTCTTAAGGAGAGTATTTCTTTCATCACAAGTGACTGCGTTTACAGAAAAGAGAAAAATTAACCAATGTTATATTTAACCACAAGTAGTTAAATGTAGAAAATGTATAGTATCATGTCAACTAAACACTGGTGATACCAAACTGTGTTTTATTACATATGATACCAACACCAAGCCTAGAGCCCTGCGCTGGAGCCCGAGGCCCGAGGGGCCCGAGGGCCGGGCTTCGAGCCAATTACAACATCATTACCTCGGACACGGGCCGGGCTCGGGCTTTTTTTACCTGCCAATTAGAGAGGTGTGTGTTTGTGTTTAACCGATTTAAACGGCAACACTTGAACGCAGCAGCCGCTGTGCTTCTCCGCTGCACGTCACACACCACATTGTAGCGTCCGCCAGGACGTATGGAAGGATGACGCGGTTATTCGGCAAGCCACCGTTTGTTACTGAACAGTACAGGTTACTGTTGGCCGTAACCACGCCAAAACAGCCACAAAACAAGGACTTAGCTGTAACGTTAACTCGAACCATGCACTGCTGCTCTCTCCTCCAGCTCGCTCCACACACACAAGCACGCGCACTCACTCTCGCACCCCGCTCACAGAACATTGACGTTACAACAGAACGTTCACTGTAGGGTCGCTACAACATTTTACTGATCCCATTCATAAACACTGTGATAAGGTTTGTTTTGTTCGTGTTTGTAGCTTAGGCTTGGATAGTCGTGTTTATTTGTTAATAGACCAACCACCTACAATTTGCAATATCAGGCGCTGCAGTTGCATCGCGCACAGTCACTTCAAAAAACAAAATAATCAATTAAACAACCCCCAAAATGCTTCAAACACTTTTCTAAATAATCTTAATATTGAAAGGAAACGAAATATACCCACTTATGCCATTAAAAGTGCTTAGATAAGGTCGGAGGTCTATAACTGCACATATAGACCTCCGACCTTGTCTGGGTATATTTCGTTTACTTTCAATATTAAGATTATTTAGAAAAGTGTTTGAAGCATTTTGGGGGTTGTTTAATTGATTATTTTGTTTTTTGAAGTGACTGTGCGCGATGCAACTGCAACAGTGCGCAGCAACAGTTGATAGGAGAATACAGTCATTAAGTTAAATAAATTCATATTTAACTTTATCCTTTCAATCAAAATATAATGAATATAGCTTAATACCATGCTAGAAACCCCAATTAAACTATTTTAATGTCTGCAACATTAACAGCCTACATGTTGTTATGGGAGGCTTAAAAAACAACAACAAAAAAATCGGCTTTTTTTCGGGTTCGGGCTTGAGAATTCTGAAAACCTGTCGGGTCGGGCCGGGCTGGGGCTCCACCCCCTCGAGCCAGGGCCGGGCCGGTCCAGATAATAGGCCCGTGCAGGGCACTAACCAAAACTACAGGTGAAAAGTAGCACCACACCACGCTATATTTCCTTTCTGCCATTCTCTAAAACAAGAGCTAATTTATATTGTTCATATTAATTTCTTTTGAGTGTGATCGGGGTGTGACAGTAAAACCTGTTTTTAAGGATTACTGTTGCTGAGGCTGACTGTTATCTAAATATCTTTCAAACGCAAATTCGTGATCCAAACATGCCCCTGTTTGTTTTGTACCGACTCGTGTGTTAAACTTTAACACGCTGAATCAAAAACAAAAGTTGATTCTTGACAAATTAGGTATATTGTAACATATATCATGCATGCTCTGTATGTTTCTGAGAGCTGGGGAATAAAGGGTAAATGCCCAGGAAGTCTGTAAAGGGGAGGGGCTAGAGTAAAGAATCAAATCTGAGCTCCAGTTACAATAGAGAGTGTTATGCAATGAGAAGTGAGAGGAAGGACAGGATTGCTTGCTAGTCTGACAAAAACTACAGCAAGAGAAGAGAAAGGGGTGAGAAATACAGCAGAGAAACCAGCAGTGTTCAACATGTCATTTGAGCCCGGATCGGTATGTCTCTAAATTAAAGTCTTTTTCAAAAAGCTACATTGGCCTTTTCTTTCAAGTGGAGTTCATTTCTTGCTAAGCATGTAAAGCAGAGCAAATAAGTATTGGCTTGTAGACTAAGTAATTTAAAGTGCATGTTAAAGCTGTATATATTTCTAATTGCTTTTTAACACATTTGTATATTAAACTTTTTTTAATCTTCAGCAGCACCTGTTTTTTTTTTCTTGACTACAACCTATTACTTAATCTTTGAGCACACCATTGCATTATTTGGACTGTTAAATATTTGTTGTCTCTTGTTCTTTAAGGATGACTTGTAGAAGCTGCTTTTTAAACACAATCTTGCTCTCACACAATGCACGTATAGTTTGTATGTTTTGGTTCATTTCTTTCTTTCTTTCTTTCTTTCTTTCTTTCTTTTAAACATGGAGTTACCCCCTCGACCAGAACTGTTTGACTTCCATGGAGTCTCAATGACCCACTATTTCACAGACAACTGGGAGAATGTTCAAAACTTCCAGGCCAGGCCAGATGATATACTTATTGCGACATACCCCAAAGCAGGTCAGTCTGTAAACCGGAAACTGCAGCATGAACGCTTTACAGGTCGTAAAAGATGTGTGCATAGAGGTGACGGGTTGAGATTATTTTATTTCCTCTCTCTCTGTCTCTGTCTCTGTCTTTCAGGAACCACATGGGTCTCCTACATCCTTGACCTGCTGTATTTTGGTCAGACAGAGCGTCAAAGAACCGTTCCAATCTTTGAGAGAGTGCCTTTTTTGGAGATTTTCATCCCATCATTGGGCTCAGGTCAAGATGATCAAATAAACTCTCTATATTTTACACACACACACATCACAAACATACAAATGATTAATAAACCCTCAGTAAACCTCATTTTCTACCATTTGTGTAAACTTCAGTAAATGTTTTCACTGTATATGAAAGGTTTGTGTCGCAGAACACTTTATTTACCACAGTCAAAAAACAATTCAGCACTTTACAGCATCAGATTTTCTTAAGAAAGGCAAGTTTATTTATGTAGCACAAAGAAATTCAGAAAACATCAAAAGCATCAATAAAAAATGAAAAAGAAAAAGGAAATTTGAATACAATTAAAAATGCCATGAAAGAGCTAGACAACAGAAGATAAGCTAAAATATACAAAGACACGTATAAAAACATGTGAATGAAATTTGCGCCACAGTGTGAGAAATAATTTAATATTTGATTTAATAAAAGGCAGAGGCAAACAAAAGCTATCCAAGCTGACACGGGGCGGGGTACATCCTGGAAAGGCCACCAGACTACTGCAGGGCTGCCACTTAAGCCCTTTTTAGACAGGAATTGTGCAAATTTGCAGGAAAGCCCAATCAGTCTTTTTTCAGCATTGGCAGTATAAAAACAAAATCGGGGAGGGCTTAAAATTGCCGTCTTCCTACTTTTGTTTATACAGAATGCGCCTTTTTCAGGGCAATGGGTTGGCGTGAGCGAGTAACAAAACACGTAGCTCAGCATGTGACGTAAACAGTGACATCGGAGGGAAGCCACAGCTAGTCAAGCGGCGGTAGTCAGGCGGCGATTCTCTCGTAAATCGGCCTGTTCTTCACCGTTCCCGTCATCTGACGGTTAATGGCCTCTTCGTTTGCGAGTGCAAGGAGGCTGCGCTATTCCTTGTCTTCCCAGTTGCTCATCTTTACAGTGTCTGTCAGGTTTGCGTTTCCCTCTTGCTACTAGCTGCTCGCTAATTCCTGCTATCAACTGTTTCCTGTTTATCCACCGCCAGTGAGTCGCACATGTGGTGTCATCAACAGCTCCCCCCACAAGTCTTCAACAGCCCCTCCCGTTGTGGAAGGCCGCCTCGGTCTGTTTAAACTAAAAGTGTTCCAGCAATATGACTACCCTCCGAGGCGGAAAATTGGGCACCTTGGATCAACTCACCTTTCCGCCTCTGTGTGTATAAACGCTCGCAGCTGACCGGCAACTCAGCCCAACATTCATGGAAAATTTGGCAGTGTAAAAGGGGCTATAGAGATAGACAACCATTCACGCTGACAGTCAAACCTACGGCCAATTTAGAGTCACCCATTAGCCTGACATGCATGTCATCCTCTGTCTTGGTCTTACTGAGGACTCAAGCAGCAGCGTTCTAAATCAGCTGCAGCTGTCTGATTAACATTTTAAAGGGAGACCAGAAAGACACAATTAGGGGGAAGTCTTAAAAAAATGCATGGACGAGTTTTTCCCACATCCTGCTGAGACAAAATTATTTCATCCATTATATGTTCTTAAGGTGATAGTAGACTGACTTTGTAATTGTCTGTAGTTTTCAGTATTGCCAACTAAAGCTGAGCATTGACTTGTAATTGTTCTTCCTTGACTCCAAAAAAAACTACCTCAGTTTTGTCTTTGTTAATTGAAGAGAATAGTGGCACATCTAATCACTGACTTGTTGGGGTGACTTGTTGGGACCACTATCTGCTGCTGATATGGTTTTACAAATGTGTGTGTCATCTGCATATTGTGACATATTTTGTAGTTCCCCTTAATCTGAGCCAGTGGAAGCACGTAGATGTAAAACAGAAGAGGCCCCAGAATAGAGCCCTGGAGACTCTGCATGTCGTTTTTGGACACACTGATGTAGAGTAGTCCATTTACATAAGCCCCACCTAGTTTTCCAGTAAAGCTAGTAATATTTAGTGGTCAGTCATGTCAAATGCATCACTTCTTTCTCTATTTGTGTTCCTTCGTTTAGGAAAAGATCTGGCAGACAACCTCCCCACCTCTCCTCGACTCATTAAGACTCATTTTCCAGTTCAGTTTGTGCCAAAGTCCTTTTGGGAGCAAAACTGCAGGGTCAGTAGTTTGTGTCTTATTTGTATTATTTCAATGCATTATCACAAGATGCTGCAATAGCAGCCAAAGTAACATCAAGGACTCATCTTTCATTTAAAGGCTGATAAAGAGAAGCAGTAGAGGCATGTCAACCTACAACAAACACTTGCTGTTACACTTGTTTTTTTCTTCTTCTGTAGATGGTCTACGTGGCCCGCAATGCCAAAGACAACATGGTGTCTTTTTTTCACTTTGATTCCATGAACATGGTTGAGCCAGAGCCTGGAGACTGGAGCAACTACATCAAGAGATTCATGGAGGGAAAGAGTATGTACAAAATACTATAATAATGCAGTCTTTTTTATTGGTACAGAGATGCATCGATTTCTACTGAACACGACTGAAGTGCTTTCATTTATTGTTCTGTGGCCTCAGTGGTGTTTGGATCCTGGTACGACCATGTAAGCGGCTGGTGGAAGAAGAAGCAGAGTTATCCAAAACTCCATTACATGTTCTACGAAGATATGGTCAAGGTGATGTAGTTGTTTTTTTGGTGTCTAATCCTGTTTAGGCTACTTTGCTAACGGTGTAATGATAATATCTAAACCACTGTGTTTCCAGGACACTGGACGGGAAGTAGACAAACTGTGCAGCTTTCTTGGTTTGTCTCGTTCAGACGAGGAGAAGAAAAGAGTCACAGGTGGATCACAGTTTGATAATATGAAAAAGGACGACATGGCCAACTATTCTTCAAACCCAGTTATGGATTTCAAAATCTCTCACTTCATGAGGAAAGGTAACCTGATGAATAAATTGATAATAGTGTGTGACAAGAACAAAAGAATCAGATCTCCACCTTCAGCTAATGCACCTGTCTGACTCTCTCTGTGGTTCTTCAGGTAAAGTTGGTGACTGGAAGAACCACTTCACTGTTTCTCAGAATGAAGAGTTTGATGAAGACTACAAGAAAAAGATGACGGACCCCACACTTCAGTTTAGCACTGAAATTTGAACAAGAGAGAGTCAGACTAACATATTATGTTAGAAAACCTCCCAGACTAACATATTATGTTAGTCTGACTCTTCAGAAGATTGCAAAGCTAATGTGTCATTAAAGAGCAGCAGTATGACAACACCATTTACACTGACACTTTCAAATGAGACCAAGAGATCTATATGATCAGTGATGTAAATAAAAAGGTGTTTATTCATATTCAAATTTCTATATTTGCAATAAAACAGCAAGAACTCATTCATGTTGTTCATATTGTTTTATATTGTGCGTGAGACATTAATGATCAGTGGACTACAAGAAAAAGATGACGGACCCCACACTTTAGTTCTGTACTGAAATTTGAACAAGACTGGACAGGCTGTGTGTATGTGGAGACAGGTCCATGACTGACCGGACATGTGACATTACTTTGAGAAAATCAGGTTCCTGTTACCTGTAATGCAGTGGTTCTCAATATTTTTATGCCATGCCAAGCCGAAAAAGTTCATGACCTCCCAACCCACAATTTTTTTTTATCAATTATTAACAATAATTTAGGAAGCAACTATTAAAATGGGATTCATGTTGAATTTCAGTTAGATAAAGTTCAGCATGATAGCGTCTGGAAATTCATGTTTGTTTATTTTCCCTACATAAATCATATTCATTTAATCATTTTTGTCCCCTAATCATCCACGAGACTACTTCAAAACATGTGGGTTTCACCCGGGGGTGGTGCCTTACGTCCTGTGTCACACAGAGTGTAGTGTGCCTGATGCGCTTTGTGGTCTGCTCACACTGGAGCATCTCGTCACTTGTTGGATAAGCTAGCAAAACTGTAACCATAAAGTTGTTTATTAACCTAATCTTTACCTTAACCCCCAGATTAAAGTCCAGTGTGAAAGGTTTCAGGGAATTTAGAGACATATAGTGGTGACGACTGCAGATTGCAACCAGCTTTAACTTCTCCCAGTTAAAATTCCTCCAGTGTACTTTTTTCAGGAGGTTTTCACCAAAATATCCACAAAGGAAGAGAAAAGAAAAAAGTGTTTTTCCAAGGTAAGGTAACAAAACCAACCCAGTCTCACTCTGAAATTGTCACAATCCAACACTTGGTCAGTGACTTGCAACGTCAGACACTTATGAAAGAAAACTTCGGCATGATGCGCGGTAGAAGAACAAAAGTTAAGGTGGCAAAAGTCCGAGTAAGGCAGGTGGGAGGGGTGGTGGATGGGTCCAACAAACACCGACTTTCACCCAAGAGAACGGTGTTTGCGTCCCGTAAGATTCTAAAGCTGAGCCCTGTTCTTTGTTCCTAAACCTAACCACATGTTTTTGTTGCCTAAACCCAACCATGTGCGTGGGTTTTGGAGAAAAAAAACACCAATTCCTTGTGTTGTACTGATGTAGTGCATTTATTTTGAAAGAAACTGTATGTAAACGGTAAATTTCCTATGAAAACGGAAGTGTATTTTGAAAGAAGACAATGCATGTAACAGGCAGAACTTGACACGACGTCCCAGAACGTCAACAACCAACGCACCCAGGGTACCTTGCATGTCGTATGTGGACGTGGAAAGTCCATGACCAAACGTCGAGAACGAAGCGATTCACTTCTACATTTTTGCTCCTTGTACTGCTGCATGGATGCAACCACAAAGAGACTTCTCTGCAGATTTTCATTTCATTTTTACCAGACTGCTGATAAATTCTCAGAGTGACCATCATAATGTTATAATGGAAAATATATACAACTAAATAGTGCTTAAATACACTGACATTAAGATGGACTACATCTTGTCCAACAACAAAAATCTACTCGTATTCTGATCTCAACAGAATATCTCAGCTTAAGTGAGACTACCAGTTTCCATGTGTACAGGTGTGAGGCCAAATATAGGAAAACATGAATAGTAGGCCTATATTCTGTATGCCTTCATACCTATTGCATGCATTATTCAGTGTAGTTTGCCCATACTTTGTCATTCTGTTCAACTTATTATTTGCATTAAACTATAACAATTCAGGACTTTTGTTCTGCGTTCTTGCACACAGACTGTCATATAAAATGTGAACGTACACTCACAGCATGGGCTGAGACAATGAAGATGATGGTAGAGGTTGCCAAAGTGTTTCCTGATAAGTCTTGCAAAACCACACCCATCTGAGTGAAACCCAGTGTCTTCAGGGATTCCCTGTCATCCACGCCCCACCTGCAGTGGCTCTGTGCTCCCCCCAGGGGGGCCTGCCCCACAGCTTGAGAACCACCGCTCTTGTGATAGCAGAGATGTGTATCCTCTTGTTAATTATCTGAATTAAGCTTGTGAACTAGAGCCTGTTTTACAGTATGAAGCACAATGTTGATCTAATGACTGGTCATGTCTTAAGGAGAGTATTTCTTTCATTACAAGTGACTGCGTTTACAGAAATTAACCAATGAGTGTGTGTGGACGTAAAACCTGTTTAAAAGGATCATTTACACTGAGGCTGACATTTTACTATTCAAATTCATGATACAAATGAAGGTTTTGTAGCGACTCAGGTGTAAGACTTCTACACACTGAATTAAAAAAAAGCTGATCCAGCTCTGTATGTCTTTGAGAGGACAGGGGAATAAATCGTAAACGCCCAGGAAATCTGTAAAGGGGAGGGGCTGGAGTATCTTATCATATCTGGAACTGAGCCTCCGATTACATTTGAGAAAGACCTATGCACTAAGAAAGCAGAAGGAAAACAGTTCGCTTGCCTGTGAAAAACTACAGCAGGAGAAACGTGTCAGAAATACAGCAGAGAAACCAGCAGCGTTCAACATGTCATCTGATCCATCTGACACGGTATGTCTTTAAATTCATCTTAAGTCTACAAGTCTATTTTCCAAGCCCTACACTGGGCTTTACTCTCAAGTGGAGTTCATGTCTTGTGAAACATGTAATGCTGAGCAAATGAGAATATGAACCTGTAGACTGAAGTCATCTAAAATGCTTGTAGAAGCTGTGTATTTTCAGTTGCTTTTTAACACATTTGAGTATTACACTTTTTTCTTCAATAACATCTGTGTGTTTTTTCTTGAATGCAACCTTTTACGAAACCTTCGATGATGCTATTGTCCTTAAGGTTTGTTAACTACGTGCTGTCTCTCTCCTTTTTTGAAGACGACTTGTATAAGTTGCTTTTTAAACACAATCTGACTTCAATGTCTGCAACTGACAGTGAACAGTGTTTGAAAACTTTTTCACATAATCAAATTGCTGCAGTTTGATTGCTCTCACACAATGATCATATGCTTTGTATGTGTCTTTTCTTGGAGTTACCCCCTCGACCAGAACTGTTTGACTTCCATGGAGTCTCAATGACTCACTATTTCACAGACAACTGGGAGAACATTCAAAACTTCCAGGCCAGGCCAGATGATATACTCATTGCGACATACCCTAAAGCAGGTCAGTCTATAAACATGAACTGCAGTGTAAACGCTTTATAGCTTATAAAAGATGTGTGCATAGAGGTAAGGGATTGAGATCATTTTATTTCCTCTCTCTTTCTCTGTCTCTGTGTCTTTCAGGAACCACATGGGTCTCCTACATCCTCGACCTGCTGTATTTTGGTCAGACAGAGCGTCAAAGAACCGTTCCAATCTTTGAGAGAGTGCCTTTCCTGGAGGTTATTTTTCCACCTTTGGGTGCAGGTTGAAAAGACAATCAAATATACTAACAGTATTTCATAGACCTACATGCATCATAAACATGCAAACACTTACTTAACCTTCAGTACACTGTGTGGTGATTTTCTGCTGCTTGCTCAAACTAAACGTTATTGACAAGGAGTGAGTGTGTTGGGCAGTGGTTGGATAGGTCAAATTGTCGTGGCGAGTGTGGTCAGAACCCTGGATTTGCCTTTACAGAGAGCTGTTCCAATAGTAAGGCCTTATACTGCAGTGAAGAGCTCCCTCCACTTGACATGGTGGGATTTGCAGTTTCTGAAAAACCATAAACAGAATACAAAACATATGTTTACAGATAAAATATACAATGTACATTTTACTTACAATATCTGCAATATCCCTATAATAGACCTAGCATGTACTTCAACAACTCTCATTTCTGTCTAATTATCTGTCTAACCAGAGCCTGGAACTGTTGGTGGAGCTCAGCTTTGGCTTCCTATATTTCTTTTAGCCTTGCCTGTGGCATCGGAGCTGCATTCTTTTGTTGTATCTGCTGCCATCTGGTGAACAGATCTGCGTCCTGACTCATATGGTGGTGCCGATCCTCTTGTATTTTTCCCAGCATCTGTGTCCATTTTTCTTTCAGCATGTTGTTGTTTGGTGCACTGCCTTGGCTGATAGGTGTTGTAGCCCTAAACTTCTTGTGTGTCCTGGGGATCTTGTGTATGGAACTGCGTCTAGGAACCTGGTCCGGTTAGGTAATAGTCCAAAAGGTGCAAGGGAACTGATTTATGTCATCAGGGTCAGGGGACCATCTTATTTGGTTCAAGGTATTGCATCTTTTCACAGTAATTTGTCTATTCGCCTTCAAGGACCAGTAAAAAGAAGTGGATGTGTTGGATGGTGGTTCAGTGGGTCAATTTGTTGTGAAGAGTGCAGTCAGAATTCTAGGTTTGCCTTTAAATTGTGTCCTAACAGCAAGCGAGTGCCTGAATACTGCGCCACTTTAATTTACATCAGACGCTTTCTGTCCACACTGAATCCCTTAAATATGGGACTCTGTCATCTCAAACAAACACCTTACCTAGCAGCTGTGGTCTCAGATTAACCACTGAAAAGATGGGCAAGTACATACTTCCTTATTATTCATATTCACAACAATGCTACCACAGGTAACTTCTAGATATCATTGTTGTAACTACCATACTATATCATGCTAACATTGTCACTGTGTAAAACAAGCTAGCTTGCGAGCAATCTATTGAGCATCCCACACAATACTTACCGGAAATGTTCAGCTCCCTGGTGACCTCCCTCCAGCCAGATGCCAATTTACTCAGGATTTTGTGGTGAACTGAGGAGGTATCATATACATAACTACTCATTTCAGCCTGTTGAATCAGCCATTCTGCGTCCATTGCGGCACTTTCAACGCAAGCTTCTATCAAAGGTTTCACTCAAAACGATGCACCACATCACGATGCACCGCTTGCGGGCAGGTAGGACAGTCCAATAGAAAACAAGGCAATCAAACTGATTTAGTCGCTGATGCTTCGCTACTTGAGACAACTGGTTTTCTGAAAAACCATCAACAGAATATAAAACTAATAATACTGCGTGTACTTTAACTACTCTTATTTCTATTATCTGTCTGTTATCTGTTATATATTTAACTTTAATATTGAACAGAAAAGGAAACCTGTGAACTGTGCAACCATATTATGTTTAATTATTATTTCTATGTCAAATAAGGCTTCTCGCTCTGAACAGCTGCTACAGACTTTAAAATCTTTCAATACTTCTTGGTAAATGTGACAACAAACTAGAAGACTACGCACAGATTTCATGGATGCACAGATTACAAACTGGTAAAAAACAAACAAACTGGTATTAATCTGTCAAGAGTTCTTCATGCTGGCAAACTGGTCTTCCTTTGTATTGAAAGGCAGAATTCAGCAGGAGCACCCTCTGCTGGCCACTGATTAGCTACTCAGTCCCCACATTCTTAAAGCAACAGACAGCAATTTAAACAATCATCATTGCATCTGAAAGGTTTTTAATGTATTTTATTGGTATCACAACACATCATGCTTACCTCACTGTAACAGTCAAGAAACTATTTCAGCACTTTACTGCATCAGAGGATGTTCTTACTCCATCTTTATCTCCTCATACAGGAACAGATCTGGCAGACAACCTCCCCACCTCTCCTCGACTCATTAAAACTCACTTGCCAGTCCAGTTTGTGCCAAGGTCCTTCTGGCAGCAAAACTGCAGGGTCAGTAGTTTGTGTGTTATTTGAATTATATCAATGTGTAATCACAAGAGTCTGATATTGTTGGACAAAGTAACATTAAAAACTCAAATTTGAGGTAGGGTTTAAGGGAAAAGTGTCAAGTATAGTATGTCTAATGTAAAGCTTTCTTCTTCTGTAGGTTGTCTATGTGGCCCGCAATGCCAAAGACAACATGGTGTCTTATTTTCACTTTGATCGCATGAACAGGGGTCAACCAGAGCCTGGAGACTGGAGCAACTACATCCACAGATTCATGGAGGGAAAGCGTATGTGTGAATAATACAGTGTGTGTGTGTGTGTGTGTGTGTGTGTGTTAGAGGTGCACAGAGACAGAGTCTTTATATTTGTTTGTTCAACCAGACCCAATCCTGCCTCTTGCCCGGTGTCAGCTGGACAGCTGGAATAGAGCACCAAAGGAATGAGTCCTAAAATCCGGAAATGATTTTACCACTCATGGTTCCCTTGTCTCGAAGTCAATGCCATTTTTGAATGGGATTTTGGTTAGGTCTCTGGTTAACACAAGCTTAAGAGACTTTCACATTTTGTTCCACAACATAAAATACATAAAAAAAAATACCTCCCTCATGAACTTTGAGGCTTCTATGTGTCCATGGCCACGCCGAACACAGCTTTACGGTCTTGTTATGGTGGCGATGTTGTGTCATGTGCCCGTAGTATGGATCGTTTATAACCTACCATTAGCTTTTACTTCTGGTGATTGCATTTAGGCATTGATAATCATGAAAATGGTTTTCATTTGTGTAGATTATCTTGCTGAACAAAATGTGTAAGTATCATAAATGTTTGTTTGCCACAAAGCTTACTTTCTGCAATAACCCAAAATCCAATTGAAAAATCCCATAGGCTTTTTGGCGAGAGAACCAGAACGATGCCATTTTCCTCATTGGCCTATAGAAAAATGTCATCCCTGGGGCACTCTATACACTCCAGCCACCTTACCCTGAACAGGATTAATGGTGACGGAAAGTGAATTAATGAATACATACATATTTGACAGAGTTGAACAGATTAATACTGAACACTACTGACGTGCTGTTGTCCTGTGGCTTCAGTGGCATGGGGATCCTGGTACGACCATGTTAACAACTGGTGGAAGAAAAAACAGAGTTATCCAAAAATGCATTTCATGTTCTACGAAGATCTGATTGAGGTGATCAAGTTGTTTTTATTTGGGTCTCTTTCGACTACTTTTCCCCTCTAGCTAGTAACAATGCAATGATAATATCTAAACCACTGTGTTTCCAGGACACTGGACGGGAAGTAGACAAACTATGCAGCTTTCTTGGTTTGTCTCGTTCAGACGAGGAGAAGAAAAGAGTCACAGGTGGATCACAGTTTGATAATATGAAAAAGGACGACATGGCCAACTATTCTTCAAACCCAGTTATGGATTTCAAAATCTCTCACTTCATGAGGAAAGGTAACCTGATGAATAAATTGATAATAGTGTGTGACAAGAACAAAAGAATCAGATCTCCACCTTCAGCTAATGCACCTGTCTGACTCTCTCTGTGGTTCTTCAGGTAAAGTTGGGGACTGGAAGAACCACTTCACTGTTTCCCAGAATGAAGAGTTTGATGAAGACTACAAGAAAAAGATGACGGACCCCACACTTCGCTTCTGCACTGAAATTTGAACACAACTAGACAGGCTGTGTGTATGCGGAGAATCGTCCATAACTGACAGGAAATGTGGCATTTCTTTGAGAAAATGAGGTTACAGTTACCTCTAATGCAGTGGTTCTCCATATTTTTCTGTCATGCCCCAGTTCATGACCCTCCGACCCACAATTTTTTAATCACTTGTTAACAATAATATGGGAAGCAATTGATAAAAAAAGGATGCATGTTAAATTTTATTGAAATAAAATAAATAAAGGTGTGGAGCATTTCTTAGGAATTATCTGAATTAAAGATGTGAACCATACATTATATTATGGAATATGATGGAAATCAAATGACTGGTCATGTCTTAAGACGAATATTTCTTGCATGACCCCCCAACTGGAGGACAAGACAATGTTAAACTACAAATAACCCAAGTCATCTAAGACTTATTATCATAAGTAAGTTAAACAGAGACGTGTCTTTAAGTGAAATTTGAATTAAATGCAAAACCAGACACTTTAAAACAGCAATATTACAGTCCAAGGATGTCATGTTGGTTCTGGGCCACTGAAATGAGAAAAATTATGATGATTGAGTAAAAGATGAAAAAAAAATCTACTTCAGCACATATTTCACTCACACATACACACTCTCACTCTAAATAAACACCCATAGGTGTTTTGCAAAAACCATAACAGACAAGATAAGCAACAGGTAAGGCGAGAAAGGTCACACACTTTATAGTTGTCTTTTTAGCTATGTGAGATTTCAGACCGAGACTTCTCCTTAAGTGAGACATGGACACAATAACAGAACGGATCAAGTGAAGGGTAAAGAGAAACTTCAGACAGAAACATCAGACACTTGTAATAATAGTCTTTCTGTGGCAAAAATAATTACTTTTAATGAACGCAAAGTGACTGTGCAGAGTTGCCCCATGGAGCGTTGTACAGCTGCCGGCTGAAGCCCCCTCTCTCCCTCTCTCAATACTGGACCAGTTTCAAAAATTGTTGTTGACAGAAAAACAAAAAAAACATGGAAAAATAGGGTGCAGCATGGAAAATGCCAAAGTAACCCTTCAAGATAACTAAAGAGCTTGGAACTAGCACTATTTGTGTAACCAAAGACAAAAAGTATCTTGCTGTACTTGAAGTGCAACAAAATGATGAAGAACTCAAAACATATGAATCATGGTGATGTATGGCCTGATTTAACCTGACTTTTTTAGGACATAGTTAACCCCTCTGACCAGATAGCAGTCCAAATATTTGACAGTGAAGATAAGGGAAAGTCTGAACAGTAGAGCATGTGGATGAGGGAGTCAGGTGACTGGAGCAGGTGGAAAAGTCTGAGGGCATCTTGTAGACAGAGAGAGAGAATGGCAATGAACATGTTTAACTTGTTTGTGTACCCAGTCTTTGCAGCCTGAGGATTTTCAACACATGGAGCTCAGCGTAAGTTCAATCAGGAAGACTGCCTTGTGCTCATCCATTCACAACTCTCTCCATCCCACTCCCACCATCAGCTGACTATGGGTGTTCGCTCTACTAGTTATCCAATCAAACTTCGCCATTATCTCCATCAGCCATTTAGGATGCTACTGCAAAATTTTATATCTGCTCTCTCCACTGCCACTGTCAGCTTCCATTTTAGGCAGAACCATCACACCCTCCTCCACCCCGTTCACCTCCAGCCATCGTATCCAGAGTCCAGGACAAGCTCAACAAAGGCGCATTCCTCTACTCATCCAGATCATCAGCACTTCTCCATCTTCTTCTCATCTCATCTTCACTACCTCTACCACCACCAGCGTCTACCCTCCTTAAAATCATACCATCTCAGCAGGGACTAATCGCCAAAGACACATTTTTTCATTCTTTATTGCACATGTTAATTAATATTCTTTTCATTATAAAAAAAAACGAGTCTCTCCTGATTGAAATATATATATATAGACAGAGAGAGACAGAGAGAAAGAGAGGGGCATGAATGAGCTACACCTGAGGCCTGTACTTCCAAAACACAAATATTTGTGAGATATGTATGTGTATATGTAAGAGTGCAAAGTTAATGTGTAATTAAAGAGCAGCTGTATGACAACACCATTTACACTGACACACTCAAATGAGACCAATAGATTAGTGTGATCAGTGATGTAAATCCAAAGGTTTTTACTTGTATCCAAATTTCTATATTTGCAATAAAACAAGAGCTCATTCATGTTGTTTTATATTGTGTGTGAGACATTAATGATCAGAAAACAGATATATATTTAAAAAAAGGGTATAGAATTGCACTTGATACGTGTTGGAGCCACAATAACATTCTTTGTATTTGTTTTGATTCATGATTAGATAATGGCGACTTCATGTAAATGAATGCAGTTTAGTTGTTTGTACACAGGGTGGAACACTAGATCATGTAACGCAGGTAATATTGATAAGGTGCGGGTGATGAGCAGCAGGTTTGTGACAGGGTGAGCAAACAGTTTTTTGACCATGTTAAGTGTGACAACATGAAGAGTTTGTAGTGTGGAAACCAAAATTGATGAATGGAAACTGACCTGTGGTTGACTCAGAAACTGTGGAATCCTATGTGAGATTAACATACAATGTGTGCAATAGAAAAATGACTACAAACAGACATACAATCATCACAAATAAATAGATGTAAAATAGGAAGAAAAAAAAGAAAAGTCCATGACAAAGTTTGTGTGTCTTCTCCCTGTTCAGGAGAGTCCATGGGACCATGTGCATATCTATGCCCATTGTCTCATAATCCACCCATGCGTTGGCATATCCACTGGCTGACTCCACTACTATTAATCGTATCACACCATAGTCACTTTTGCTTTCTAATAACGGCCCAAAGACTCTATTCTAATTGTTAGGATCATCATTTTTACCACAATCCACGCTGGAAATACCATCTTACTCTTGTTCAGCTCAGTTCATCTTTATTAGTCACTTAGTAGCACTGGGTACATACATGTGAAATTTTTAGTCTGGGAAGCTCCACCAATAAAAAAACAAAACAACGACAGCACCTTAAAATCAAGTCTAAAAGCAACCAGTACTACCTAAAAACATCTATAAATAATATCACCTATAAAAACAGGACTATCACTCTAGTAAGGTGTATAATGATGTGTTATTGCACTGTAATAAAGTGCATGGCGTCATGTTATTGCATAGCTACTCTTTCCTGTCACTTAAAAGTCTGATGGCCTGGGGGATAAAACTGTTTCTCAGTCTGCTTGTTCGTGTTTTGAGGATTTTGTATCCTTTCACCGGTTGGGATTGCAGGGGGGTGAAGTGACTGTTGTGGGGGTGGGTGGGGTCCTTGATGATTCTCAGGGCTTTGCTGAGGCAGCGCTGGGTGTACAGGTCCTCCAGACTGGGCAGCTCACATCCGGTGATCTTTTCGACCATGCTAACCATCCTCCTCAGCGCTGACCAATTATTGACGGTACAGTTGCCATACCAGGAGGTGAACCTGCTCGTCAGGAGGCTCTCAGTTGTGCCTCTGTAGAAGTCCCTGATGATCTGGGGCCTCATGCTGAGTTTCTTTAGGCATCGGAGGCCGTAGAGGCGCTATTGGCCCGGTCCCGTTCACCCCCAGATATCTGCATGCAGTGTCTCAACTTTTACTGAAAGAACAGCTGAATCTACCAACATCTCGCCAAAAGTGCAAGGGTTTGTTGGTCACTGTTTGGAGCTTTAATTGTGTCCTATAATTTTGTCTTTTCTTGCTCTTGTATAGTTTCAATTTTCACTTCTATTTTAGCTTAATATACCTCTAACTGTTTTTTCTTCTCTCATCTCTTTGTGTATTTATTTTTGTCCTTGTGCTAGTGGTACACTTGTGCAACCACTTTTGTAAATAATTTATTGCAGTAATATAATCAATAATAATGCACATGACAATCACGTTATTTTATTTCTTTTATATATTGTGAAGAAACAATGATGAATGTGAGCAGCACCCGGGTGGATAAATGCTACTACATGACAGGACTTCAGGGAAATCAGAAGGTAAGTGTAATATAATGCTTTTATTTATTTATTTTTTTTTAATCTATTTTTTTCTTCTAGACCAATAGGTATTTAGAGACAATGTGTCTTTTACAATGGTGGCCAATGGGATAAAAGGGTTTTGGGCTGTGACCTTGCAGTTTTGCTCCCAAAAGGACTTTGACACAAACTGGACCGGGAGATGACTCTTGATGATTCGAGGAGAGTGGGTGAGCCTGTCCACTAGCTCTGGTCCTTTTAGCACTGGTGGAGAAGGCCCTAATCCTGTACATTAGTAAAACAGTTAACATGTCAGTGGATCCTACAGTGTGGTAAATACAATGCAATACAACTACACAAGAAATTTTCAGATACCATGATGAAGATAAATGTAGAAAATATCACTAAGTCAGGGACACTCACTGGAACACGACCTTTAAAATACAAAATGATTAGTGTTTACATGTACATGAATAACCCATTCATGATCAGGTTTTTACTATTTATGTTTCTGAGTATGTAAACAACATATTCGGTTTTCAGAAATCTGAACAAGACCTAATCCTAGGCCCGGATTGGTTTTCGGGAATACCAAGGGTTTTCCTGGTGGCCTGACCTGCTAAATGGCCCACAAGCCATAGCTAAAACAAAAAAAAAAAAAAAAAAACCCTGCGTAGTGGCCTGCAGATTTGATTAAAAAAACTCTTTGAGGGTGTTGTGAATGCTTTGTGCTGTGTCAGATGCCCCTGAAGAAGCCAGTCAGGCAAGGAAAGGCTGTTGGCGCTTTAAGATGGATTGCTGTGGAAAGACGAAGAGGGGTGGAGCAAAGAGGGAGAGAGATAAAAGAAGAGAGGCTCTTGCAGGAGATCACCATGTTAGACAGTGATAAAAATAAACATGCTACATAGCTAGCTGTTAGCAATGCATCATCATCATCATCATCATAATCATCATCGTCTAAGCCCAATATTAATCTTACAGGCTGAAAGAGGCAATATGTGTCAAAATTCACATTTCCATACATGTTACATATATTGGAATAACTAATAATCTATTAATAATGAGGTTGGCATCAGATTCACCGATTAAGGGGAGATTTAAGGGGAAATTTTAATCTGCCTTTTCCAAATCCTCCTCCTGCTAGTGAATGCAGTCCCAGGCCTGCTGCCTCCCCCCAACCACTTGGCAGATGATGAAAGGCTCCTTGGTGGTTGTGCTCATTCTTTTGGCTCTTGTCCTCTTCCCTGTGGTGACTGATTGTTTGTAACAGGTATT